GGGATCCTCGTTTTCGTGCCGCAATCTCCGATTCACAGCCACACACATAGCACCTCCACCATCTTTCCCTTTTCTTTTCATCGTCGTCGCCTGAAAATCCCACAAATTTGGCACGAATTCACGATACCAGGTTTCTTCGATATTTTCGGGATCTTCTCACGGCGAGTCGCAGAAAGGGAGTAGCGTATCTTGTATCTCTCGATTGGCATCTCTTCATTTCCGAGAGCATCCTTTTGTCCGACACCAATCTTCGCATCTGAAACGCGAGATATCGCAATGTGGGAGGTGGTTCCAGGTACTTGTCTTCCGTATCAATGTACAGCTTCGATCTTAGATCGAACGTTTCTTGCAATTCCGCTCGATTCTTGTTAGAGATTATCGATTTCGCGATTATTAAAATATCCAGCGGCAATCCGTCGTCGCGGAAACGTCGCGTTGCTCTGCAAGATGTTGTCTCGTTGACGAAGCGGCAGTCTCTCGATGATATTCCGCGTGTTGTCGAAACGGCTGAGCTTTTGCTAAGCTCGGCGAGAATAAGGACAACATCTTGCACCGTGCTTCCTCGTACCGCTCGTGCAGGACGTTTTGCAGGACGAAAAAGCGACAAGATGCCGGGAAATCCGCTCTTCGATTGCACAGATTTAGACCTCGATTGCTATTTTATGTCGCTAGGAGCCGGTATTATCGCGTTGCCCTAAAAAAAGGAAGATCAAGAACCTTAAACCACAAGAGATTTGATCGAAAGGAAAGCATTTTAAAAGCTAAAAAAATATTTCTAAAAAAATTAAAATTTTCTCGAGAATAAAAATAAATAAATAACTGATTCACTAATATACAGACATAGGAAATTGAATTGAATATGAAATCCTGTGAGTTATTTATACTATATATTATCAATAGAAATTTATTTACAAATATTGATATATAAAGTTATTACAGTCAAGTCCATCGCGCGATGAAAATCATGCAGCTGTAGCTTTACAGAATTTTGCAAGTGCAAGACGTATTTGACATATTTAAGCCAAATAAAAGTAAGAGTTCATTTTCCCGACATTTCTTCATTGTGAAAAAAATCGACCTCAAATTCCTCCGGAAAAATCCGTCGCTGAAATGGTGCGCTCCACAGCTCGTTGCCTAGCTATCTCGATAGCCTCAATTTTTACAAGAATTACATTCGAGAAGTGTCAATCTCGCTCGAGAGCGCCGTGAGAACGGAAGCTGTCTCGGAATGATTCGGGAAGTATCGGAAAATCCGGAAAATCTTTTTTTTTTTTCTTTTCTTTTCTTCGGCGATTTTACCTTCAACAGAAGAGCGGTGCCTCCGGTTGGTTCCACCAGTGGGCGGCCAGGAGTAGATAAAGCTCCTGATCCTGGACGGTGTAACCGGGTGGCGGTTGCGAGGGCAGAGGCGGCGGGATAGGCGGCAGCAGGGAATAGGACGGCGGCGGCGGCGACGGGGACAAGGATTGCGAGAACGTTGTCGTCGAGAGCGGCGTCGGCGGCGTCGCGGTGACCGCTGCTGGAGGCTCGTCCTTAGCCGGAGATCAAAGCGCGCAATCGAACATCGCCAGCGACCGTGTGATCACGTCATCCTGCGTGCAAGTTCATTGTCAACTAGAGAGTCACTCCATCGTCCTCGAAAAGTTCAGGTCAGCTTAGGACGACGGTAAGTCGCACACGCCTTGCCCGGAATATTATTCCGCTAGCTCGACGACGAAAGCGCTGAACAAACTACAAACAACAAGCTCGCGCAAGCTCCATAAACATCGATTAATCTCCGGCGCCCCTTATTTTTGTTTCTCGCGTTCATGGGGGGGAACGGCACACATGGCTTGTATGCACTACGAATTGCATGTTCGAGCAATATTCGTTTCTAGTAGATTTGTCATCGTGAAAAAAGATACAAATCTCAAGGCGTTACAAATTTCGTTATCAATTTTTTTTATACAGATAAGACTTTATAACATCGTGGACATCTAATTGTGAGGATATTCAGTTCTACTAATATCGAATTAATACTGTTAAATTAATTTCTAAGTATATAGTAAATAGATGATAAAGTTTCATTTCTCGGTTTATACAAAAGGACTTTAACTTTATTAGAAATATACCATCTGGCAGTTAATTATCAAGATGTGTAACATGAAAAATTATGAACTTAATTCAGAAAGAGGGAATCGTTTCCAAGACTGATTAAAGTACGAGTTGAAACCATAGTTAAAAGAACACCCGGCAGATCTGGGACATTTCATATATACCGCACATCTCGAGGAACTTGGCATTCATTTACGAAGGGACTGCATACAGAGTGCTGTCCCAAGTTTACTGTACCTTCCTCTATTCAGCCTTCGTCAAGCCGAGGGTCATTATTAAAATTATTATTATTATTATTATTATAAAATATGACATGCCGATAGCAAAGGTATCGAAAGGAAAAGTCAAATCGAATAGCAAAGGGACAAAAGGGAACGACGCTCTGTATACTTTCCTTATCTACTTGATCGCTCGTAGTTGCTTCACCAGACCAGACGTACCTTCAAACAACTCTCGATAAACTCCTCGATCGTGATAACACCGTCCTGGTTGAGATCGAGTTTCTTGAAGACCCTGTCCAGCTGTTCCCTCGCCTTCCTCTCCTCCTCGGCGTGATGCCGCCTACCCATGAGCTCGTGGACCGCCGTCACGACTTCGCCCAACTCGCCCCTGGTGATACAGCCGTCGCCGTTTATGTCGTAGAGCTTGAAGGTCCATCTCAATTTCTCGTAAATGCTACCCCGCAGCAGGGTCGACAGTGTCACGAGGAGGTCCTGCAATCCCCGGGATTGTCTAAAGTCGCGCGCGACTTTAATACGAAGCACGAGATGTCGGTGCGTTTTCTTCTCCCCAGTCCAATCAAATCTCGTCCGAGCGTCGAAATCGTCCACTTTGCGGATTTCACGAAAATTGAAATAAAATTCCGCGATCTCAACGAGTAACGAGAAACAATTCTGCATAAATTGATATAAAAAGAGCGAGGGGCGCGAGCGAAGCGGAAAAGCAGACAGAAAGAAAGATAAATGTTCTTTGACTACTCGTCGACATCTTTTTTCTCTACCGTGAAATAAAAAAATTATAATTAACTCGCAATAACGTTGGCTAACTCAATTATGTAAAAATGCTGCAATAATATAATATTACATACTTGAATTATATAATTACAATGCAAAATTATAATTAAAATACAATAAAATACTGCACTTTTGAGAATAAAATATAATGTAATTTCTACGCTTAATTTACACTATATATACAATTGTTAAATTGTTAAATTGATCTTTTAAATAAAATTAAACGAATAATCATGATTCCTGCACTTTTGTCAAAATAATATAATTATATTTTACATATTAAATACATGAAGCGAGGCAATCTTTTGTTTATATCTCTAATGCTACATCGCCATGATATATATTAACAAAATTTGTAATTATACAAAAAAAAAAAAAAAATCATCCAGAGCGCGAAGCATCGGCGAGGGAAATTAATCAAATAAAATTGTATCCCCGAGTTTCGGATACATACAGGAGTTCATGTCCCGTGTGATGAGTACCGCATCGCGAGCACTGAAAGCTTTAATACCGCGTGCCGGTGCTCGACATCAAGCTGCTCGATCTCTCGCAAAGGGCAATAAATTTTCAGTGGTGCAGGCGCAAACACTCACGCGAAATGACGGACGATCAGCCGCGCCGTGGTGCGCTTCGCAAACGCATTTGCCTTCGTATCCGATCGCGTATACGCCGATGTACCTCGCGTTTATCATAAAAACGATTAATTATTCGATCCGATAGGGCGACTCGCTCAATTGGCGATAGTCCCAATTTTGTCCGATCGACGACCGGACGTCGTTGTTCGCGTGCCGCGTCATTTATGCGCGAAACGCGCACGTGCATCGCCGCCCCGCGATAAGTAAATGCATCGGCATTTGCATCCTTCCTACGCTTTGCATTCTACATCGAAATTTCTCCCACCGAGATCTCGTCGCGCCCGCATCTCGCCTCCCGCGTCAACATCGAGCGGAAGACCGAGCCGCAGAAATTGCGTAAAATACACAGCGAATTGAACACGATCTGAATTAGACATGAGCACAATTAAATATCCGAATACACGATTGGCAGGGAGACTGCGTTCGATGCGAAATTGTTTCATGTGCAATCAAATAATATGCACTCATCTATAATTTTGATTTTGTAATATACTATTACTGCGCGGTCAATCGTTAAAAATTAATCGTTTAAAAAATTTGTAAATTGTCAAACAAACAGCTCTTTTAAAATAAAAAAAAAAAATATATATATATATATATCTTATTCCCCAAGCAGAATGTAAATTTCATATGCTTGTTACTGTCAATTAATTAAATATGCAAATAAATAAATAAAGTATATTTAAAAATTTCAAAATAATCGCTTCGTTTCGTCGATAATACCTACGATACGTATAGTAACATTTAGCGACTTAACGTCGACGAAAATTTCCTTGCACGTTTAACGTCCTTATTTCAAGATGAGAACACGCGTCGCACACCGTCATTCGAGAGCAAAGACACGCCGGCGGACATATCGGTCAATTTAAAATTAATGAAAAGACATTACATGAGAGAGAGAGAGAGAGAGAGAGAGAGAGAGAGAGAG